GTGGCAATGATTAAACGGCCATTTCCAAAATAAAATGTTATTGGGAGCACAATATAATTAAGGTGTCTGAGTTAGTTTCTCTAATAAGAGGAACATGCAATAGGCACCATGACTAAATACCCACTAATGGTTATTAAACAATAACAATTCATACCTTCGGTCAACACCAGCATTCCCTAAAACAAGAATTACCATTAATATTTCGTCAGTACGTGACGTATAACTCTTACCACCCCCCCCCCAAAAAAAAGTAACTTTACTAGAATTTATCAACTTTGATGCAGGTCAAAGGTACCCCCATTGGTGCACACAGAACCTCTGGTAATTTAAAAAAAAAAAAAGCTCCCCAGCTCGCGACAATATTGGCAGATTTACAGACTACTTTTTCTCGCGGTTGTAAAACACAAAAGCAACAGTAGCAGCTATGAGATAAGAGTAACCTTTAACTCGTTTAACCCTTAGTGGCTTTAGGTATTGTATGTACTAGCTCTATCTATAAATCCAACAGTATGTTGTAACTCTGCATCTATGTATGTATTTTTCCTAAATAAAATGTTTGTTTGTTTACATTGTCAACTTTTAATAACAATTAGGGACAGGCAATAAAAGTATTGACTGGCCTACGCTTATGAGAGATTGGAAACTTAACATCGCGTCAGCTGTTAGTCTAACTGTAAGGGCTAAAAAATAACTAATTCAACCCCAAGGTAAAACAACTATATAACATGAATTATTATTACAGAATTAGACCGAATTCTGCTGGTTGCCCTACATGGAAAAATCATGATAAACATGTAAAATTACCTTGAAACCACAATATACTTTAAGAACTAAATTTATTTTGGCTTCATAAATGACTACATAAAAGAATTAACATTGCCAGCCTTGCAACGGTATGTAAATTAGTACTGTAGTGATTTTGGCTGGTGCTTGCAATTAAAATAATTTAGATTTGGTGAGAAGTAATCTCTTAGCCTGTGTGTAACAGTCAACTATTATCAACAGCTTCGTAAATTTGTCTCCACGTAATTGTGATGAGTTCTGTAAATAGTTGATCATGGATTAGAGGTTAATTTACGTGGGTTTGAAATGTGTGATAGAAGCCATGGCAATGAGACTGATGAATGTGTACCTTGTGGCTCTGGGAGAAGCTGAGAGTTAAACTTTGGCCTTCATTCAACTTGCTTAGAATTCCTGAACACACCCCCCCCCCTGAGCGCTAAGTTTGACATTGTTGTCGGGGGCTGGGGTAAATGACGGGTAGAGCCCCCTTCCTCGAGAGAGCGGGGCAGCTTACTGATACACTAGTGTCTCGCCTGTATCATCGTTTATATCCAGATTAGCAGCAGACATGTTGAATCATCATTTCGGCACGAGAAACTCGTGTTGGTACACGGTCTCATGCTTATCAAGATTTTTAGTACATGGTTATTTTGGCTGTACTGAACTACAAAAACTATATTCCTTTTACTTAAAATGTTTTAGCATTTCTATTATTGTACAGTGAATATTTAGTTTACTAATTTACGGGTGGATAAATGATCGGAACAATTGCTTAGCAATGACTGACTGTAGCAAATGATCAGGCTACATGAATTAGGATAGACCGAAGTGTGTTTTGTTTTCGGACTTTTGGGTGCACTGATCATAATCTACCAAAGATGGATTATACGACCCATCCTCATGTTTAGATAGTACGTACTGTATAGTAACGATGTGAACCATCGTACATAGTGACGTAATGGACAATAAGATAGAATTTCGTACTATTAAATTTGGACTATGAAAAAAGGTTTTGTATATTTTGCTATTAAAACTTTACCATCCTAGGCCTAATGAAAGGATGGAACGTGTGGTGAGCTTTAGTTTTTTCACCTACTGAACAAAATTTCCATGCAGCAAGAGTTGTAGTGAGCCCATAAGAGGTTTCTTAACTTGTTTACCCACATTTACCACCTACAATAATCAAACGGGGATATTTTTCTTAAAAAAAATAAAATATAGATCATTTTGAAAAATGCTTAGACATCTCTTGAATGTCTGTGTCTAAATTAAGTTAGAGCTGTGTCTAAATTCAAGCATCTTTTCACACTCCATCTATAGTGACGGAGGGCGTGAGAATAAGTTTGCTGACGGTTTACATTTAGTAATGTCTACAACAGCAAGTAATTAAAATTACCATACCAAGAATGGTAGAAATTTCCATACGTGCACAAACATACCAACTTGTAACCTGTTTCACTTCTTGGCACCAGTTGAGTGGTTAATAACTACGGCGTAGACACGGAACACATCACAAGCGTGAACGGTCTCATAATCGGCGGAATATCGACATTCTTAACATTAAGTTCTTTGGTTGTGGATAGTGTAGTGATTATTGAGGATATTAAAGAAATAATTCCCAGTTGAACCTGTTTAGGGCAGTTATTGGTACTGAATGTTTTAATACTGTAAGCATAGCATGAACTGTTGCAGTATTTGATACTGGTTAAAGTGCCATCTAGAGTTGGTTGATTGTAAGGAATTAGTCTTGAGCATACCATTATTGAGGTGATTAATATACACAATAATTGAGCGCAGAGGTGCATCTCGTCCACTGCCAGGCACGTGTTGTGTTGTGAAGCGGCTCTGTTGTCTGGCATTGATCTTGCAGCAAGTGGGAGAGGTTGCAAGACTTAAGGTCATGCAGTGGGTGTTACTGGCAGGTGACGCAGGACCGTTTGTGGTGAATGTGGGAGTAGGTAAAGGATGCGTACAGTGCTCACGTTAATGTTTTTTGTTAGTCTAAATGTTGTATAAATGTTGTTGGCATTCAAAGTACTAACAAATATGATGGAAACTAGGGCGACTCGTTCTTTAACTTGGTGTCATGTAATTAATCACTGATCCTTTAATCCATGTCTTTGATGTAATGGTGATACTAACTTGTTTAATTACAAAATAATAAACTATCCCTTGTAATTACGGATATGGCGACACTGGTGAGCGTGCAGTATTTATAGGTTGGCGACACTGGTGAGCGTGCAGTATTTATAGGTTGGCGACACTGGTGAGCGTGCAGTATTTATAGGTTGGCGACACTGGTGAGCGTGCAGTATTTATAGGTTGGCGACACTGGTGAGCGTGCAGTATTTATAGGTTGGCGACACTGATGAGCGTGCAGTATTTATAGGTTGGCGACACTGGTGAGCATACAGTATTTATAGGTTGGCGACACTGGTGAGCATAGACCATTTGGTCACCACTTGGTCCGGGAGACATCTCCCGTCACGCAGGGTGCAGTTGCGCCTCCACAGATCTCCAGTATCATCTTTTGATACTGGTAATGGCTCGAAAGGGCCACCACTTACGGGCTATTCATGCCCGTGCCACCTCTTGGGTGGCTTAATCTTCATCAATCATCATCAATGGTGAGCATACAGTATTTATAGGTTGGCGACACTGGTGAGCGTGCAGTATTTATAGGTTGGCGACACTGATGAGCGTGCAGTATTTATAGGTTGGCGACACTGATGAGCGTACAGTATTTATAGGTTGGCGACACTGGTGAGCATACAGTATTTATAGGTTGGCGACACTGATGAGCGTGCAGTATTTATAGGTTGGCGACACTGGTGAGCATACAGTATTTATAGGTTGGCGACACTGATGAGCGTGCAGTATTTATAGGTTGGCGACACTGATGAGCGTGCAATATTTATAGGTTGGCGACACTGATGAGCGTACAGTATTTATAGGTTGGCGACACTGATGAGCGTACAGTATTTATAGGTTGGCGACACTGATGAGCGTACAGTATTCGCGGGTTGGCCATTTTCTAGTAGAATCAGATCTTGACATCTGGTGGGTTGGCCATAGTAGTACTCGCCTAGTTGTTTGCGGGGGTTGAGCTTCAGCTCATTGGTCTCGCCTCTTAGTCAATTCACTTGTGTATATATTCCCGAGGCTATTAGGTGCTGTCATGTGTACACTTGAAACTGTATAGTCTCTCTTCACCACATCACTGCCTAATGCATTCCATGTGTTAATTGTCCTGACACTGAAAAAAAAAAACCTTGTAATGTCTGTGGCTTATTTGAGTACTAAGCTTCCACCCATGTCACCTTGTTAGTGTTTTCACCCATGATTAATAGTCAATTTGTGTATAGTGAAGATGTACACTGCATGTAACCATGCTTGTAGTGAGGATACACTCGTATTGACTAAAGACGTCACCGCATAAAATGTGTAGTGTATGGGAACTGTAGGGGCCTGGCTAGGTCATCCACAGCATTGAAAATATAAATTACATTTATGATTTTGCGTAGTTAACAAATGTGCTGGAAAAAATTAGAGTAATGGGGGGGGGGGGAACAGGACTTAACAAGCCACCAGCTTCATGTCCCTGTCAAGGCTACTAGTTTTTTTTTTAATTTAATTTATATATATGCAAGAGTTCTTACATTCTTGTACAGCAACTAGCACGCATAGCGTTTCGGGAAAGTCCATAATGCTATGTCTACCGGAAATACACGCCAAATTTTAACAAACAAGTACCCATTTTATTGTTGGGTAAACAGAGGCTGCAGTTAAGGATTGACGCCCAGTAAATCCTCCCCGGCCAGGATACGAACCCCGGATAAAGTTCTCGCGAAATACCAGGCGAGTGTCTTAACCACTACACCACAGGGACTGCTTTATGGTGACCCTTGGGTAAATTGACCCACTACCTTGGATACCTGATAATCCATGAAAATGTGTAAAATAGTATAAATAATTTGTAGTGTTTGTACAGGTATTTAAATATAGTGCATTGTGCCGTTTAGTGGCATTTTAATGTAATACTGTATCCTGTAACATTAGAATTAAGTTCTATTATATTAGTCTTTTAGGCATTAATTTAGACCCTTGCCCTCAATCTTGTTAATAGTTATAAAAGTATTACTAACGTTTGTGAAGTAAATAGTTTTCTTCATATATTAAACTATAAAATTAAATGGATGCATTTCATGATTTTCCAGGATTGATAAGTTTGCAGGGAGACTGTCGCCCGTTGTTTGTGTGTGGGCGTCAAGTTGGTGCTGTACGCCCTGATGTTGCTTGCTGCCTTCTCGATTATCCTCAGGTGTTTACTCCAACTCCAGATGCCTTTATACTGAACGTACAGGCAAGTGCAATCATTTAATCAGGAAATGTATGTTTCTCTCTCAATGTTTGGTACAGTGTAATATGTTTGTGATGTGTGTCTATGTATTAACACGATGTCCAGAACGGGGTGAGAATAGCTTGAGCTACCTCATCCCTTTGTGTGTATTTTACCTCAATAAACTTATTTCAGTCATTTAATGTCGCTTAAAAAAGCATTATATAAGGTAAATGGACATAAATAGGGGGGGGGGGGAATGCTTACTTTGAATACTGTTTATCTAATGGATTTTTATTATTTTCAGCTGGACTCTTACACTAAACGTTCAAATGCTATCGATGTTGTACTTAGAGACCTGAGGGCAAAAAATGTTTTGCGAGCACTCCGTGGTTGGCGAGACGAATGTTTTAATGTGTGGGCAGACTTTGGTGTCGAGCCTCTATTTAAAATGGAAAGGTCAGCTGTTAGTAAGTATATGAAGAAAAAACATCTTTAGTCTTACCTTATTTTAAATGCTCAACCTTTTAATTTAATAATGTAAAAATGAGTTATCTTATTGTATTTTTGGTGGTAAACCTTACTTGTATTTAATTGCCCAGTACAGTGTATAGTACTGAAAACAAAAAATTTGTTGCAAAAGATGTGCATGCTCTTTGCAGTTGTGTAGATAGTTTAAAGGAAATGGTCAAAGTATTCTAAATCCACAATTTAGCTGGCTTTGTTTTACATTTTTTTAAGTCCTTAAGACTTTCTGGTACTAAAACATTAATGTAGTTTGCTCCTAGACTATAGATAAAGTACGTGCAAGATGCATAACTTCATAAATTCTAACAGTACTGTAATTGTATTGCATCTACAGTATAGGCAACACTAAACTTGTAACAAAATATCGTGCATGCATTTACAAATAAAGATCCTGATCACTTTCATTCAACCTCTTCTGTTCATCAGCTCTTCTAGGAGTGCGTGCCTTTGGAGTACACATTATGGGATATTCAAGATCAGCTGAAGATGGTACAATGAATATTTGGGTGCAGAAAAGATCACTGGACAAGCCAACATACCCAGGCATGATAGACACCATGGTTGGTGGTGGTATCACTGCAGGACTTCAGCCCTTCCAAGTCATGTTAAAAGAAGCGCATGAAGAAGCTGGAATTCCTGAAGACATTGCAAAAACTGCACATGCTGCTGGAACAGTTTCGTAAGTGTGATGCTGTGTAATACTGTACTGACATGTTTGTACGTTGGCTTTGTTGCCTTCTAAAAAGAAAATTGAAATTATGGTTATGCCGAGATGACACAACACAGCTGGTTGTGGGAGCCATTCTTGAATGCCATTTTAGGTTTTGTCTTCAAATATTGTTTAAAAAGAATGCTGAGGTAACTTAATTCCACAAATAGAAACTTTAAAATGCTTAAAGATCAAAACTTTATTTTAAAATGTTTGTAAATTGTACACAATACCCAGGATTTGGTTTAGACACTAATTTCATGGTTCTGTTGCCTTTTTTAAAAATCAGGCACAAGTTAGGATGTAATTAGGTAATGTTTATACCAAGCCTCTGAAATAAAACATCTCTTCAGATTCTTCACCGAGACTGAGCGTGGTCTGCATGCCAATACTGAATTTGTGTATGATTTGGAGTTGCCTCCAGATTTTGTGCCGTGCAACAATGATGGAGAGGTAGAATGTTTTGAGGCTGTATCTGTTGAGGTAAGTTTGAGGAAGCCGCCCAACTTGCTAGAGCTACTGGCTTATTCTGTTAAGATTCCTTCCTAAAGCTTTTTTTTTTTTGGGGGGGGGGGCGGTTAATTTTAGTCAGTTTGTGCCAAAATGTCTTCCATCATGGGGTACTTTGAAATTTTTGTAACTATGGTATTCATTAATTTACTGTTTATTTCCTAAATGTACCTATAAACCCCCCCCCCACTTCTTTCATTTGAGATCTTACATCTTAGACACTAAATTGGTTTTCTGTTTATAAAATACTGTAGTTGGACATGTGAATATCATATAAGCAATGTTTTCCTTTTATTAGGAATATGTGGAGCGTGTGACATCAATTAAGTACAAGTTAACATCGGTGCCTGTTGGCCTCGATTTCCTTGTGCGGCATGGATTAATAACTCCGGACACTGAACCAGAATACCCTGCCCTCGTAGAACTTTTACATGCCCCACTTGACCAGTTATATCGTAGATGGCCTCAAAGGAATTCTCTTTAAGTCTTTCAAAATACTTAGTTGTGTTTTAGTCATTACATGAACCAGTATTATTTGGTACATACAGTATTTAGTTTTTTTTTAAATTGTACTGTGAAATATATTTTTATTAGTATAGTTATTTTAGCACTTACATTTTTATTACACATTTTAATTTATTAATTTAAAGTTTAATAGTCAAAGCCATTTTCCTAATTCTTGAACAATTTGTTTGTGAAAGTTTTCAAGATATTCCATGTAAAGCAGGCTTTTGAATGAATGATCATTAAATTGTGGAACATGTATGCATCAAAGATTGTGGTGTGAAATGGTAACTGTTGTAAAGTCACTCGTGCAAGCGTGACGGTGGTGCTTGTATTGTGGTGTAATTCCTTCGGTGTATAGATGGGGTAGCAGTAAACCTTTTGCAGGTGCTGACTATAGAAATAGGGGTTTACAGAAGACGTGTGATGAATCGTAAAGAAATATTTACAAATAACATTACTGTACTTTAAAAATAGCTTCATAAGTAAATCAGATTATGCTTTATTCAATAATGTTCAGCACAAGTGTATTTAAGTATACCTTAGAATGTATTTTTTCTAAATGTTTGTAATTTAGAGAAGTGGCACAAAATGCAAACGGCATTTGTAGGGAATGTTACAGAATGTTGCGGGCACATCAAAGCACACACAGTAGTAGAGCTTTGAATGGTAATGCTACACACCAAATTTGTAAAATCAATAGAGAGAACTTAAGAATTCATAATTTTTTTAATAGTTAATACACGTGCATGTGTAGCCATTTATACAGGAAAGTATATACACTGTATATGCATTTATATTGATAACTTTCAATATGTTATTTTGGTTTTATGCAGACAATGTATTCCTTCCCAAGCAGGTGTATAGGTATATACTGCATAGGTTTTAGCCAAAAAAAAAATTGTGGAAAAATAACTTTAGAATATTATATTACATACAAAATTATAGTACGGTGAAAGCAAGTATGTTCTTTTTTAAACCAGTTCCATTAACTTTCCCAAGCTATGAATCTCATTTGAAGATTATGAAATGTTTTTGGATCCTATTTAAAATTGAGAATTTCTTATGTTCACCAAACCATGGAAGTCTGTGGATGAAGGTAGAAGCACATTAAAGTACAGTATTCTGGTTCTCTTGGTGGATATCTATTATGAGGCAAAATTAAGATTGTGCTTACTAAAATTTTATCGGGTGTGGAGAAATGAAAGGACCGAATATGAATGCTCTAAAACATAAGAGGAGTAATAAATGTTTTCATAAATGTGTAACTCGAATTAGTTTGGTCCAATGGGAAAAGCATTGAGCATGACTTAAAAAAAAAAAAAAAAAATTCATGTCTAGATGGAGGCAGTTTTCATCAGCAGCGCACAACATAGCACAAGGGTTGAATTTTGACTGAAGATTAAGGCTACATATATTTACATGTTGGGAGTGATGTAACCAAAACAATGAGTGACTGAAGGGGGGAAGATTCATACAAGGTTGGGCGGGTGTCCTATTGGAAAGATGGGACTGACAAACGAGTGATAGATGCCTCTTGGGTAGATTTGACTAGAAAAATGTCAATCTGTAGTAGATTACTGAAGTTTATTTGAACTTTTGAAACATTATTCTAAACACGTAATATAATGCTGTGTAATGTGCAAATGTAGAAATGTTGATGGGTTACTTAAATTTGTTTTGGTCCAAGAGAAAAGATTATAAAATGGTATAAATGTGATGGATATATATGGGAGGGAGGGGGGCAGTTGTCATGACTGAAAATTTACATATTGGTGTATAGCCTGTGTTGAGTATTCTTGTACTTGGAGCTTTCCAGTTCAGTTCTACATTATAATAATAGGCTGTGTGAAGTAGTGACCCTAAATCATTACTTTCTTAATTTAAATACTTAATGATAAAAGGCAGAGTAAATGTTGTACTGTAATAAGTATGTTCGATACCAAAGTAACTATTACTCGCTTTTCAAATCCTGAATTAGTCCAGAAAAAACAAAAGTTCCTTAGCCTGTACTCATCAAACTAATCAAAGTACTTTTGCATGCATAATTCAGTAGCTTCAGATCTACCCTTCCCAAGTTATTGCATTGTGAAATGACTTAAAATACTAGAATAAGTAATGGTTTTTGTTTAAGATGTACTGAAACTAGGTACTGTACATTACTTTACGGAAGCATTATAAAAGTACTTCACATTACTACATAGTATCTGACTGTAAAGTAAATAAGTATAGTGACCAGCTGTAGATTTACTTTAATTTGAGCCAGTTTACTTTAACCAGAACTTGACTAATAATGAATGAATAATATTTAGTATTTATTAAATGAAATATATTACTGTACCCAAGATACATTGAAACAATACTGTAATGTTTGTGTAAATGCATATAGTATAGGTAATCACCTGTATGTATTTGGTGATTTTGTGTAAAGAGAAGAGCTAGAATTTGTTTATTTTATATGGAGTATGTTTAGCACTATTTTATTGAAAGCAATAAATATATATTTTTTTGTCGACTGTCTTTATCATTTATAAATCTACCATTAATGCTGTGGGTGGTAACTTTGTTGAGAGCCAAGACATTATACATCTGCCTTTAAATGTGTGCAGTAGTGTTTTTATGCATAATTACTGATGGTACTGTATGAATTGTAATAATAATGCTGGTAGCAGCCCACCAAGTAATTATCAAAAGAAGGCAGCAAACCGGGAAGGCTAAGCAGTCCACCAAGCCCCCACTTGCCATGGCAACGGGCCGGAAATGAAGTTGGATTAACCTTTGTTTTGAGAGTATTGTACATATTGCTGACCATATGACAAAAATCGGCCAAGAAAGAGGTGGGCACATTTTTGGATTGCCAAAAAGCCTGACAGTACCCTATAGGAGACTAGTGCACAAGCTGGAGATAAAGGCATGAGTGAAGGGGAAGGTATGTACTCGCTTGGATAAGGGAGTACCTAAGCAACAGAAGTGACATGCCGAGAGATGCGGTCTCAGAGTAGCAAGACGTCACCAGTAGAGTCCCACAAGAACTGCCGAACCTAGTTAAAAAACAAGACAGAAGATTCGGAGGTATGTCACCAGACTAGTTCTAGAAATGAGGTATGAGCTATGAGGCTACAGCATTACTACACGTGGAAAATATTAGAGGGGCTGGTCCCAAACCTGCACACACAAATAACATCACATGAGACCAGAAGACATGGCAGGATGTGCAGAATACCCCCGTTGAAAAACAGAGGTGCAACAGGTACTCCTGTTGCACCTCTGCAACAGGATATAAGCACCATATTTAACAAAAGACACGTTTATTTATATCCTAGCTGTAATTAAGTCCTACGAGGCAATGGGGTGAACTATTCTTGATGTACATTGACTCCGTAACCCATTACCTTAATATCTGTACTCTCCAGCCAATGACGTTGAATGACCCCCCTCCCTCAGGCCCTGGATGCCTGAGTGAGTTCACACCCCAAAACACTCCCAGTAAACACGAAACTAAAATTTGTTCACAAGGTTACCAGTGGAGGATAGCTCCTCCCACAACTAATACAGATCCTGGGCTCCTCTCATTATTTTAGGCCACAGCCAACCATATAAAAACTAGGCCTGAGGTCTGGCCCTCAGGGGCCATTCAGGGCTTGGCACCTATATACAGCCAATCATATCCCTAGAACAGGCTTGGCCTGTTTCAAAGGGACAAACACGGGACAACTATTTTTCTCTTGAATGTGAGCACGCGACATATTTTTATGTCTGACGAACAAATAGTTCTATAATATTCAATTTTCATCCGATCGAGTTAGGGATAGTATGAAGATGTTTGCCATGAAATTTACGTTCTCTCTAATAGCCACATAGCCTATTTGGGAGAACGGAATTGTCTTAAATCTTCGTGGTAGAACTTTTGTATTGTTGACACGCAGAGTGTAATCAACGAAATTTCTTTATATGGTGCCGGTCTAACGCATCCTTGTGTGACATTTTATACATATGTTCTTGTAGAACATTCTATTGCAAACACATTGGTACAAAAATGAAATGTGTACATCGAAAATTAAGATCAGGACAGTGAAAAAGAGTATATACTTTTCAGTGTATCCGCTCAATCGCCCGAAACGCAGAGAGCACTTTGCGCTATCGTTTTTTCTTGTTCGCCGGGAGGATGAAAGTGTTAACTTAAATTAAGTTTACATTGCCGCCACCTTCCTGAAACCTAAATGTGCCTGCATTACTGATCTCCCAGGAAGGACAGAAATCGATAATCATGAACTCGAAAGTCGTAGTACATCTGGGACATTGACACGGGATAATTTATAGGAAATCTGTACTATTTTTGATTCAAGGGTAACTTTAATTACCATTTAAGTGAAGGAGAGCACAGGGAACTTCCAAAATAGCATGTGAATAAAAATATGAACAACAATGATTCAATAGCTATAAATAGCAATATCTAAATACCAAATACATTGATAAGCACCTTATTTAACAAAAGACACGTTTATTTATATCCTAGTTGTAAACACTTTTACACTTAGGTGACTTTTGAGCGCGTCAACTATTTTTGTCTAGAGTAGGCTGGCGTGCCGCGCTCACGAGTCAAAAGAAAAAATATTTGTATAAATTCCATTTACTATCCAATCTACTTGGGGATAGTTTACAAATGTTTGCCATGAAATTTACGTTTTCTCTAATAGCCGAACAGCTTATTTAGGAGAACGACGTGGCAGTGAATCATCGTGGTAAAACAATTGTATTATTGACGCGACGAGTATAATCGACGTAGTTTTTATATATGTTGCCGGTCGAACGCATCCTTATGTGACCTTTTATACTTATGTTCTTCTAGAACATTCTATTGCGAACACATTGGTACAAAAATGAAATACGTACATCGAAAACTAATGTCAGGACAGTGAATTGAATATACACTTTTCAATGCGGGTTTCGCAGATATGCCGCCGCGGGTAACACTTCGGCCACTTCCCACACTGTTTTGGGTGGGCTGCGACATTCATTCTATATTTATATGCATATGTCCGTATAGAGAATTTTATTGCGATTTCAGTGATACCAAAATTAACGCTGTAGCACAACTGTGGGCTTCACAACCATGAAGAGAGTGGAAACATTTTGTTGTTTGGCGCTCTCGGCTAGTGATCTCAATAGTTTTTTATTTGGTGTTGATGTCTCAGACCCTGTTGGAATATAACCAGTCTGTCAATCGGGTCAACCCAAGTGTTGCGTTTCCATGCGTTTCCAAAAGGGTCGCCCATGCTGGAATCGGTGAACGCCCTAGTAATATTGTTGAAAACATCTTAATAACTTATTAAACCAAAGGTATTTTTATGTCAGAAGAACGGCAGAAACTAGATCTATATATGAAAACTCTTTCAGGACAAAATTTAAAGTAAAACTAGATTATGTAAAACTAGATTAAAGTAAATTTATGTTTCTATCTTTCTTGAGACGTATAAAAATCTTACGTTTATTAACGATTCTGCGTGAAATAAGCATTCCATTCCTTGAAAATATTCCTTGGCGGCCGGCCTCACGCCCTGGGAAAAACTTCTCCCATTTGTCATATCAGTTTTCCCCAGTCACTAGGTATTTTCTGCCCGCCTGTTAATTCTAGGATTTCCCATTATGTCTTGGTAGGGCTCCGTTAAGTGTTGTGTCTATACACTTTATTCCCCCTTTGTGTCCTGACTGTTATACCTAGTTCTAATTATATTTCATCTGCCATTAGGTTTCTGCAGAACGTGTTTGCCATGTCTAGGCTATGCTTACTACTACGGGGGTACATTTTAAGTTAATTAGTCCTCAGACATGGACATAATAATATAATAATAATAATCTTTATTTAGGTAAGGTACATACATAAAGAGATTTACAAAGTTTGTTGGCATTATAGATAGAGCTAGTACATACAATGCCTAAAGCCACTATTACGCAAAGCGTTTCGGGCAGGAAAAACATTAATGACTACAGCTTAAAACTAATGGGTAAAAAGAAAAGATGTGATGAGTACATATAAAAAATAGAGGTAAAAGAGGGGGGAACATTGTTGAAAAAGCAGCACAAATACAATTACAAATTATTACAGAAAATTACATTCAAACAGCGTTGATATGAAAAACAAAAAATATACATGGGTTGACAACAGGGGGGTAAGGTGGGTTACATGGAATTTATTAGGTATAGCTTCGTTTTTAACTTAAACTGGTTGAGAGAGGTACAGTCTTTAACATGGTTGGGAAGGTCATTCCACATTCTGGGCCCCTTGATTTGTAGCGCATTTCTGGTTTGATTTAGTCGTACTCTAGGAATATCAAAACTGTATTTATTTCTGGTGTGGTGCTCATGGGTTCTGTTACAACCTTCTATGAAGCTTTTGAGATCAGGATTGGCATTATAGTTTAGCGTTTTATATATGTATAATACACATGAGAGAATGTGCAGTGACTTAATGTCTAACATATTCAGAGATTTGAGTAGGGGTACCGAGTGATGTCTGGGGCCAGAGTTGGATATTGTCCTAATAGCAGCTTTGTGTTGAGTAATTAGAGGACGTAAGTGATTTTGGGTAGTAGAGCCCCAAGCACAAATACCATAGTTGAGATATGGATAGATAAGGGAGTAATAGAGAGTCACCAGGGCAGGGCGTGGTACATAATATCTGATCTTAGAAAGAATGCCCACAGTTTTTGAAACTTTTTTTGATATGTTTAGAATGTGTCCCTGGAAATTCAGCTTGTGGTCAATGAGAATGCCAAGGAATTTGCCATCTACATTTCGACATTTATTATGCACCCCATACCATCTTGTGAGCGGAGCTTGGAAGCTCCTACCCGAGCACAACAACCTGCCTTATGGGTTGCTGTTTGGCTATTTTTAGTGCGTTGGGAAAAAAAGAGATGGCGTTAGTGGTATTTTGTAGGGTAATTTGTTATAAGTGTAATTTGATGTCAACAGATGGCGTAAGCTGTATCTTATGGCTATTATTGTCCAGCCAGTTGATAGTGTTCTTTTTTTTTTTTTTTTTTTTTTTTTTGAGATATATACAAGAGTTGTTACATTCTTGTACAGCCACTAGTACGCGTAGCGTTTCGGGCAAGTCCTTAATCCTATGGTCCCTGGAATACGATCCCCTGCCGCGAAGAATCGTTTTTTCATCCAAGTACACATTTTACTGTTGCGTTAAACAGAGGCTACAGTTAAGGAATTGCGCCCAGTAAATCCTCCCCGGCCAGGATACGAACCCATGACATAGCGCTCGCGGAACGCCAGGCGAGTGTCTTACCACTACACCACGGAGACTGTAAAGTTCTAAAGTAAAGTAAAGTAAAGTCCACGGAGAGTTCTCTTCTGCCGACAGATGGCATCAGCTGTATTATTATTACTTCCGAATTCCCTTTAAACACTGATCTACAAATCCCTTGGCTTATGATAAGGTTTTATGCCATTTATGATAAGTGTTAGATAACTAGAGTTCCGTAATTACTTTTA